AAAGCGTAGATTAAACTGGTAAACTGGCCCCCTGTTGTTCAATCTCTACATGCTGCCATTAGTCCAGTTAATAAGCAGCAATAATGTGTCCTACCACAATTATGCAGATGACAATCAGATCTACGTCTCTCTGGCAGCAGGAGACTATGGACCAGTGGAGTCACTTTGTCACTGCATCCAACAGATCAGTGTGTGGATGCAAAACAACTTTCTCCAGCTAAACTCTGACAAGACCGAAGTCATAGTGTTTGGTCCACAGAAACAAAGGGACAGTGTCAGCAGTCACCTCCAGTCTCTCTCTCTAAAACCTTCAAATCAGGCAAGAAATCTCGGGGTAATAATGGACTCAGACTTGAACTTTAACAGCCACATCAAATCAATAACATCTGCAGCCTTTTACCATCTAAAAAACATAGCAAAAATCAAAGGTTTACTGTCTAAAGCAGACTTGAAGAAACTTATCCATGCGTTTGTCTCCAGTAGGTTAGATACTGTAATGTTCTGCTCACTGGTCTCTCCAAATGAGCTGTAAGATGCTGCAGAACATCCAGAACGCTGCAGCTCGGGTCCTTACTCAAACTAGGAAGTACGAGCACATAGGTCCTGTGCTCAGGTCTCTGCACTGGCTCCTGTGCCTCAGAGAATAGACTTTAAAGCAGCTCTGCTTGTACAAGTGTCTCCATGGCCGAGCACCAAAGTCCATCTGTGACATGTTAGTGTCATATGAACATCTCGCACTCTGAGGAGCTCAGGGACCGGCCTCCTGCTGGTGCCCAGAGTCACGACTAAACAAGGGGAGTCAGCGTTTCAGGTTCATGCAGCTAAAACCTGGAACAGTCTTCCTGAACATGTGAGACAGACTCTTCTGTGACGCTGTTTAAATCCAGGCTCAAAACATTTCTGTTTAACTGTGCATATAACTGAAAGGTTTTCATTCCGCACTCTTCTCTCCAATTTATGTCTCTCTTTTTTAATTTTAATCTTCATTATTATTTATGTTTTGATTTGTTTTTATTATGATTTTAATGTATTTCTTATTCTGTAAAGCACTTTGAATTATTTTGTGTACGAATTGTGCTTTACAAATAAACTTGCCTTGCCTTAAAAGAAAAACACACAGGTTACAGCACTACATTACATCAGAGTCCTGCACCGGGTCGGGAACTTGTAAAAAGTTGCTGAAACGGGCGGGTTTTAATGTTCTGGAATTTTACAGGCGGGTGAAACAAATGATGAAACGACGAACGGGAGAAAAATACTTGATGGGCATCCAGGACGTCCGTTGCTCTGGAAACAGGTGCCTTGTCCCGGTGTTCTCCTGGAACGATGGCGGACCAGGCTGAGAGAGTGACTTAAGTGTAAAGTCTCATAAAACCCATTAGCGGAGGTGATCTGCTTGTGATTTAGACCTGGTCAAGTACTGGTTTAGTCCTTAAGTCCTGGTGTAGTCCTGGTTTAGTCCTGGTTCAGTCCTGGTTTAGTCCTGGTCCAGTCTTGGTATAATCCTGGTGATTGGCTCTGCGGTTGTGGTGTGTATATATTTATAATCCGCTAATGACACGGTGTAGGTTCAGTCCTGATCCAGTCCTGGTGTAGTCCTGGTGTAGTCCTGGTCTAGTCCTGGTCCAGTCCCGGTCCAGTCCTGGTCCAGTCCTGGTGTAGTCCTGGTGTAGTCCTGGTCCAATCCTGGTTTAGTCCTGGTGTAGTCCTGGTCTAGTCCTGGTCCAGTCCTGGTTTCACCCTGGTTTAGTGCTGGTTTAGTCCTGGTTCAGTCCTGGTCCAGTCCTGGTGTAGTCCTGGTTTAGTCCTGGTGTAGTCCTGGTTTAGTCCTGGTTCAGTCCTGGTCCAGTCCTGGTCCAGTCCTGGTTTAGTCCTGGTTTAGTGCTGGTTTAGTCTTGGATCAGTCCTAGTTCAGTCCTGGTTCAGTCTTGTTGTAGTTCTGGTCCAGTCCTGGTGTAGTCCTGGTCCAGTTCTGGTGTTGTCCTGGTGTAGTCCTGGTCAAGTCCTGGTCCAGTCCTGGTTCAGCCCTGGCTCAGACCTGATGTAGGTCTGGTGTAGTCCTGGTGTAGTCCTGGTCTAGTCCTGGTCCAGTCCTGGTTCAGCCCTGGCTCAGTCCTGGTGTAGGTCTGGTGTAGTCCTGGTCCAGTTCTGGTGTAGTCCTGGTGTAGGTCTGGTGTAGTCCTGGTCCAGTCCTGGCGATTGGCTCTGTGGTTGATGTATATATTTATAATCCGCTAATGACACGGCGTAGGTTTAGTCCTGGTTTAGTCCCTGACTATTGGACAGTCAGACTAATGGGCTGACCTCGATTTATCACGGGCACAGGCAGGTAACGGGTGGATTGTTAATGGGTTCGGGCAGGTGCAGTTTTAACTTTGATATAATCACAGGTTAACGGGCGGTTGTACGTCTCCAAAAATAGACCCGTGCAGGACTCTGTGTTACATTACATTTCAGATCTGTGGAGAGTCGCCCCCAATTCACAGAAGGAATTATTATATTTTTGAGCAATAGAAACACCCGTAATGAATAAATGGATATGAATATGTTTAATGTCATATCATGGAACATTATAGGCAAAACAATAACATCTCCATTGAGACAAGTAGGAAGGAAGTAGAAAGAATAAAATAAACTGCCAAATGTATTACAACTTTTACTAATACCCCTAAAGATAATATGCTGGTACTGTGTTGGAAGTGCTGATGTTTAGGACAGTGTTTCCCAAACTTTGTTTCTGGGGACCCATATTTTAACAGTCATAAACCTTCGCAACTCAAGTCAATAGACAATATTCATAAATCAGAAAATAAAGGTGGATTTGACCATTATTGAACATTAAGGAGGATATTTTATTGTTAACTGAATGATCGTGTCTCTGAACAATTAGTATTTCTCAAGTTTTAAACAATGAAAAAAAGGTAATTGAAGCAGCAATAAAAGGATCCATAAGTCGCCTATTTGAACATTAAATGTAGCCCATTTCTTTTTCTTTTCAACATTCAATTGAACCAACAATATTGGAACAAAACAGTCAGTAAAATAATTACAAAACAACAGGATTCACTGACTCACTAACTCTTTCATGTGTCAGAACTATATAAAAAAGACATGTAGATCATAACAAGGCGAACCCCAAAAAAAAAAAATCTCTCGCAACCCACCTGAAGGTCACGACCCAGTTTTAGGTTATCAGTTCATATTCATTCATTGTTTCATTCATTGTTTCATTCATTGTTTCATTCTTTCTTTCATCCATTCTTTCTTTCATCCATTCTTTCTTTCATTCATTCATTCTTTCATCTCACGGTTGGGATCTCATTGCTCAACCCGCTGCTGCACCATTACCCGCCGTATTCAAGACAAGCCATAATATCCTTCACCTCATCAAACAATCTGATTCAACCTACATTTGATCGCATCCAGTCTTAAAGGCACACTATGTAACTTTTCTGGTGGAGTGTCTGCCATCTGTTTGTCTCCATGGAGAGGATGACAATTCAGTACAATAGACCTTTTTCACAACGGCCGAAAGTGCAGCGATGCAGGGTAAACGTCACTCCCGGTTAAAAGCTTTTCTATGGCAAAATATTTGTGGAAATGTCTTGCGGATTTTTCACCAGCTTCATAAATCTGCCCCATCACCAAATCTTCATCCAACAAGATCGACAAAGGACAAATTCTGTCCATGAAGAATTTATCCACAACTATCAAGGTAAGAAAGATAAAAATATCTTGGAGTGTTCGAAAAGCAAAAACAGACCTTTTTCACAACAGCCCGAAGTGCCGTGATGTAGGGTAAACATCACTTATGTTAATGCTTTTCTATGGCAAAATATAATAAGGTCCACAAACGAACGTATTCTGTCCATGAAGGAATTTATCCACAAATATCAAGGTAAGAAAGACGAAAACATACAGGCGAACAACGACGAGCATTGGTGAATTACTCCTGAGCAAAACTAACATTATGGTCATGAATAAAACATAAGTAATAAGTTAATAAGTAACTTGTTAACTCTAGAATTAAAATAAAAAAATTGTGATGTAGATACTGGCAGAGACAGACCATTTAAACTGCACAAATCTCTCTGTCTATGCCAATATCTACATCATGAAATCAATTTTTAATTTCAATTGTAGAATCAGTCTGAGTTCACAAGTTATTTATGTATTATTCATGACCATAATGTTAGTTTTGCTCAGGAGTAGTTCACTGATGCGTCGTCGTTGTTCGCCTTTACATTTTCGTTTTTCTTACCTTGATATTTGTGGATAAATTCTTCATGGACAGAATACGTTCTTTTGTGGACCTTATTGTATTTTGCCATAGAAAAGCATTAACATAAGTGTTGTTTACCCTACATAAAGGCACTTCCGGCTGTTGTGAAAAAGGTCTATTTATATAGAGCTTTTCCGAACACTCCAAGATGCTGTGATATAAATAGTGAACAGTTTTTAAAATCAGCACGCCGACAATAAAAAGGTGAAATAATAGACCTAGGCATGAAAAGTTCCACAATATGACATTAAACTCGCATTATTTTAGTGGTCAAACATACCATAAAAGATTCGCCTTTCCACAGATCTGATGCCAAAGTGTGGAACATTCTAGGCAAAACAATCTTCAAGACAAACAAGTGGCAAAAAAGTCACATAATTCACCTTTAAAAAGCTTTTAAAATAATAATAGCTACAAAAAAGTTGAAACAGCCTATAATAGTAGCGTTAGTTTACAATTATTTTCAAGTTCAAGGATAATTTCTGTAGCTAACTTTGCACAAAAACAAAAGTGCACATGGTCAAGCTGACGGCACCAGCGCGCGGTGTCCAACAGGTGCCTGGAGGACGCGGCGCGCATTCTGCTGTAATCATTAACTTTTTTATGTTGTTATTTAGCACCACGACCTACACGTGAACTCCAAACTCGCACATGCGTATTGTTACTCATTAATACCCCCAAAAAACGCGTCGTTGCGAGTGTCCCGGCTCGGGTTTACCTGCGGTGAGGTGGGCGACGGAGAGGACAACCAACGCCGCTTGAACGCTGCTCTTCGCGGGACAAGCCATGACATCCGGCCCGCTCTTCGTCTGCTTCCCCTACGGAGACTGGCCACCACCGGAGCGAGGAGCGGGAGCGGGGGCAGGGGCGTGGATGCCATACGCGCGGCCCATCAGAGGAGTTGTAGTCCCGCTGCGTGAAGTGAAGTGTCCTCGGAGTGCGCGGCGGCGAGATTGGAAAAGTGTGGATCAGGCTTCGCTCCGCCTCCCTGACCGCCTGTCCGACCGGGTTTAAGAGGATTATACTGTGGACCTTGCAAACAGACATGTGAATGGGCACAGGGAGGAAGGGAGGGGTGGAGAGAGTGCATTCATTTCACTGCTACTGTTACAGCAACGAGTCTAATCATGGTCCAGCTAATACTGTAAATGGGTTATACAGTGGAATTTAAAGATCCAGCCTTGTGTTGCGTCAAATTGACTCTTGTGTGAGTTTTAAGCCATGTTACAATGTTGTTACCTCCTCAAACATCTGCACAGAGGTGGGGACTTGACACTCGAGTCAGATTTGAGTCACTATTTTTAGGACTGGAGACTTGACTTGATAAAATGGACTAAGACTTGGGACTCGACTTGGACTTAAAGGTGAGTGACTTGGGATTTGAGCCCTGTGACATGAGAAGACTTGATGCTTTTCCTAAAAAAAATATATGTGTTTTTTGATACATGCGGTGTTTAATTTTTGGAACATGCTCCTCCGGAGGGAAAGGAGGACGTGTCTGGGGTGAAGGAAGTCTGGGAGTCACTGATATGAATAAGAAAATGGATGGATGGAAACTGGAATATGTCCCTCCCACTTTTCTGTTTGTTACTTTGGATGGAACTGAAGTACTGTGATGTGGTATCCTCAAATGTACTACAGTAATATACAGAACAATAAAGTGCAGTAAAACAGAAGGAACTACATAGAACATGATCAAAATAACACTTTTAAATCTGAATTCTTTCTATTCTGATGTAATGATTCACACTAAGATCTTGTCCAGACATTTAAAAAGCAAAAATTTGCATTTCTACAACTCATATATAAATAATCATATATAAATTTACCATGACTTTTCTAAGTACAAATGAACTTAAAAATCATATAAATTGCAAAAATCTAAGTTATATTTGGTGCTTTGTTTTAAAAACTTGAAATGACTTGAAGCTCAAAGCAGACGACTTGGACTTGACTTGGACTTATGGGCCAGTGGCTCAAGACTCAACTTGGACTTGCTTGTATTTGACTTGGCATGGCTTGGAATTGAGGTCAAAGACTTTGACTTACTTGAGACTTGCAAAACAACGACTTGGTCCCACCTCTGCATCAACAGACCTACAAAACAACAACAACACCCTTATTGGGCTGTCTACATCTCCAAAGCTCAAAATGCTCTGTTCCTAGGGATGTCACAATATCCAGATCTTTCGGTTCAATATTATCACGATAATCATCTCACGGTACGATATTTATTGCAATATTTTGGATAGGCTAGGTAATTGTAGATAGGACACTTTTTTGCTTTTAAAATACCTTGATAAGATTTGGTGTGAATTATTTCCCTCATAATCCCAAGAATTCAAGTAAAAACATATTTATTTTTGTTGTTTGGGCTGAAATGAATCATGGGATATGTAGTTCCTGATGTTTCTAAGTTGTTGTTACTATAAAGCCATGCATTTAAGCAAAGGAAACCTGTAATTCAATATATTGTGACAGCCCACGATATTATTGTGGGAACTGTGACATCAGGGTTCTCCCAAAGCGGGCCCTCGTGCACCTGAACGCCCTGTACCTCCGTCCTGAGGGCAGAGGGGTGAGTGCAATGCGTCCAGTGGCCCTGTTGTTAAGATCTGCAAGGTTGGGTGAGGGGAGTCCTGTGATTTGAGCAGCTGTGTGTGTTACCTTTGTGAGTATAGACCGGTTTTTAACAGTGATCATATTTACCTTTAGTTCAGTAGTGACCGACAAGTCCAGTATTATCCAAATTATTCTAGTGAAGGAGTTTAAAACACAGTGGAGCATTTCCTGTATTGGCACATGACATCACAAGGTGGAACAGAGTGTTTTCTGTTTGAGAGAAGAACTCAGCCTTGTGTGTGAAACATGTGTGAATGAAACAAAACACAACTCCAGGGATGTTTGTACCAGACAGAATCAGCTGCATGATGGATTTACATTTTTTCAAGCCAGATGCCCTTCCTATTTTAAACACCCCCACATGTTTACTGGAGTGGGAAAGTGGGTGAAGTGTCTTGCCCAGGTACACAATGGCAGCAACAGACTATACTTCCCTACAAAAAATGAGTTAATGTCATTTTGGGGGTATTTGAGATCTCCTTTATCATGTGAATAAATATTGTGAGCAAATTTGATTGTTTTAACGAGAAAATAAAGGGCTATGACAACTGTAACATCCAAAACCATACAAGAAACCTCAGCAGAACGGAGTAACAGTTATTTTTCTCAGTTTCACACTCTGGTGAGTTAAGGTCTTTTGACTTTGTAGGACAGTATAAGCTGGTATTTGAACCCTCTGCCAACAGTTTGACCACTCAACCTTTCAGTCTTACTGTAGGTTAATATATAATAAAAGTTACGATATGTTAAACAGAAATGCATAAATAAACAGGTGCATATAGTGGCAGAGATAAGATAAAATAATCTTTATTTGCAGTGTTGCAACACCAAGGTTACTGTACCTCAAACTAAAAGCTGTTGTGTGTAACTTTCTTGGTGGTGGACAGTAGTCTGTTAATGTCCATGGAAATGTTATTGGGTTAAGAGAGACAAACACACAGACAGACATTCCTTGAATTTATAGATATAGATTATATCTATATGTATATTCATATATTTCATTAGTGGTGTTCAAATCAAATATTCAAGATAAATAGGATTTGAATAGCCAATATAAAAATCAATTTACTTCTTTAAATTGTTCCAACTTGAAGCCTCCTATCTGATGGTACAGAATCTTTTAACTATTGTGCAGTCAGCAATAAGTGACTGATAGAATGCAGGTAAGGACATGAAGGCTTCACTGGGTCAAAAACTGTGTAAAAGACTATAAAAGCAGCAGCTGCTATTCAAGATGTGAACATTTACTTCAAGAGATAACTGGCCGCCTTAAAGACACACTGACAAGGTGCATTAAAAGTCCTTTATATTACGCAAAATTGATTCCGGTGAGGTTTTAGCCATGTTAGGATGAAAGGTAATAGCTGGAGTTGTGTTTTGTTTCATTCTCACATGTTTGAGTAATCCTTTGTTATTAGTCTGTGCACATTTTAAGAGGTCAAAATCTTCAATTCCATTTGGCAATTCCAGGGCTGAAATCATCCAAATGGTTGTAGTGAAGGTGTATGGAGTTTAAAAACACAGTGGAGCACTTCTTGTATTGCTGCATGACAACACAAGGTGGAGCGTTTTCTGTATGAGAGATGAACTTTGCCTAAAAATGCAAGTTTGGTGTGTTAAACATCCATTAAAACCTATAAATTGACCACATGATAAAAGGTCTACAGTCCTTCTAAGATAAATGCAAAAACTTTCACTGTGTTGTAGCAGCTTTTACTCGGACTTTAACACCAACAAGTCCCTCTCATTAGGTCTGTAACCAATTTACCCCCAAATTCGACTTTCTTTTAAAAGTATAGTACACAAAATAGACTCTTGAGAGCTTTTAGCCATGTTGTAATGATGTTACCTCATCAGAAACATGCCTGTTTTGTTTCATTCACACATGTTTGAGTAATCCTGGTTTATTAGTCCGTCTTCATCATCAAAGCTCCAAATGCTCTAAGCCCAGATGAATACCACTTTGGTCAAAATGTGTTGACTTTATTTGGCCTAAATCTAAATAAAGGCCTTTTAACTATATTTTTCCATGTGCGATATTCATTTCTTTGGAGTGCCTGGATTTCGTTGTGTCTACCTGCTCTCACTGATTGGAACATCTGCAACAAACAGACACATTTTTGGGTTTTTTTTTCACTCCAAATGCTCTGTTCCACCATGTGATGTCATGTAGCGGTAATTTTCAAGTGAACATCTCCTTTAACCTTTCAGTAGAGATTGGTAAAAACACAGTGGAGTACTCTACGACATCACAAGGTGGAAGTTTGAGAGGACAAAAACTTGACTTTAAGAAATATGCAGGATTTGTGTGTGAAACGTGTGAATGAAACAAAACGTAACGCCAAGTGTGTTTGTGATGAGGAGACAACATTATAACACAGATAAGAAAATAGCGTAACACGAGCCCTTTAACTCTAACTCTCTTTTCAGCTTAATTTGACAAGACAAACATTACCATCACCGGGGCCTATAACTCCCTGTACATTGAGGACACCAGCTTAAGCACACCTCAGTGGAAAAAGTGAATTCACAACAGCTTGCCATGTTTTTCTGACGGCTCCGTTTCCGTAGCAACCATCCAGTGTCCCCCGTCTCCACGCACGCACGCTTGGTTATCATTTAGTCTATTCACTGCAAAGTCAAGGCTGGAGACGTCATCTAGGCAACAGCGTCTTACCAGGAATCCTGAACTTACTTACCGTACCGAAAGAAGATATTGAACGTGTGGCATGTTTTACTGTGAATAAAGTAGCAGTAAATATGAATGAGGGTTGACAGACGGAGATCTTGACACCTCAGAAAGTCATGTTTTTAATCATCTGGACCGCTGGTAGAATATTCATAAGACTGTGAATGAACATAAACCGATTCTGTATTCGATTTGGGTCAAACACAGTGTCATGTAAGGTTTCGGTTTACTGCAGCAAGGCCTGAACTTTTGGTCTTTAAAACTAAATGGAAATGATTGTGTTATAATTACAGCAAAATGTTAAAAAGGGGTGAGGACTAGTGCATTTTAGGCAGTAAGCTTTGAAGGGAGACTCTACACGCTCCCCTTTCATTTAACTTGAAATTTTAATGTCCATTTTCTCCCATATGGGCATAAGGATCACTTCTTAAAGTAGCACCTACACGCACCAAACTTTTCAGTCTTGTATTTAACAAGATTTGACGGATTGAACAAAAGGTTCTATTTCATCCCTCCAGACTTTCAGAGCCAGTTCTTCGAGCACTGCCTCGATCATCCAGGATTCATAGGACTGTAGTTACATTTTAAGGCTTAATTTGTTGATCTATAATTTCAAACCTGATTTACTAAAGTCTTAAAGCCAAAAATTTGTTGCAAAATTTGAATTTTTTGGCCAATTTAGTAAGATTGATGTTTCCTCAAATACCAAATAAGATATCCAAAATTGTCCCTGTATTTTTTTTTTATATAATATGAAAGCAATAAGAAATTTAAACCCGAGTCTTTCCATGTTTCCGCTTTGAATGTTCCAAATACAGACAATTTGGGCATTTCTTTATTTTATTTTTTTTTTTCATCTGCAGTAACATGCCATAAGTAGCTAGGCTGGTGCCGCCTCCGCTCAGTTTAATTTCTCTCCTGTGACTAGATCAGGAATCAGAATACACAAGACGGTTTGCAAGAACCATGGAAGTTGTAGACCGCCCACTGGTCAATCAACGAAGAGCTGTGAAGCCATGACGTCAAACTCAAGCGCCTGTCTGGGTCCCTTTTGTGGTACAGCAACAGTAAACAAAGCGGTCGAGATGGATGTAGATGAAGACAGACATTCTGTGTTGGCAACGATTCCCGAGATCAAGGATTTAAAACCAAAAGAGAATGTTTGGTGAATTTTATCAAAGGGAAAGATGTTATTTCCCTTCCTCCTACAGGATTTGGGAAAAGCTAGCACCATTAACGGCGCATTACATACGTCACGACTAAATAGCAGCGATTGGTTAAATGAAAAAAGTACCCATCTACCGACGAGTGAACAAATGCTAATGCTGTGAGGTCAGACGGTTTACACGAAGTGAAACCAGCTGATGAATCACGCTATGCCTTAACCGCAGTAATCCATAATTAAGATAAAATAATAATAATATTAAGGGTTGTGTGGGTGATATTGTGGTTTTGTGCCATTGACAATCTCCAGATTATAGAAATGACAAAACACGTGTCTGTAGACGTGGTGGCTTTGGTTCAAAAGGAATTACCTGCAAAACTGCAAAAATGCAAATCCAATTTCTGATCCCCTCACCGTAGATAATTACTATAATAAGCATTTTACATTTTTACATGTGCATACTTATTACCGGAACAGTGAGCGAAATCAGCTTTTCAAGTTTTCCATTTTACTGAAACTGAAAAATACACAGACCATTTGAATGCAGCATTAGTCTGAGCAGAGCCGTTTAATTCTGAAGTCCAGTTAAAGTCTTCATCACTATCAGGATTCGACTAGAAGCATTTCAACGTTATAAATCTCCAAAAACAATAATTAGATCCAGACAAGTGAGACAAATAAAACACATTTTCTATTTAATTGATAGAAACCACTATTTGATATAAAATGTTAAAGAAATAAAAAAAAAAGGCTGAAGTTCCATTTTCTGACAGTGCACGCATTAAGACAACAATGCACGCGTTAAGACAGTGTATACAGGCTTACGCAAGAGGCCTTGGAGCGAAAAGTTACTTACTTAGCAGATATTTTATTTGTTCTTTTAGCATGGATTGTAAAGCTGAAGAAACAAAACATAAAACAAGTATAACTCAAGTCCGATGCATGGAGAGATTACGAAAGCTTTTGAGGAAAATAGTGCCTTAGTCGCTTTTACAACTAAACGTTACTGTGAAATCCTATGAACTTGTAACAGCGTTGTAAACAGAGATACAAAGATATATCCCAGTAAAACATAGTACTTCTTCTTGTGGAGTGTGCTCACAATGAGTTGGCAGGCTTTCCTTTTCTAACGCAAATGAACATTATAATCAAAAGAAACAGCTTGCAAAATACAGTTATGTTCAAATGGTGTACAACTTAAAACATACTGAACTAAATCGGCAGTACTAACAAAAGCAAATGCCCAGGTAACAGCTCTTTCCTAATGGTCCAGCTCCTATGTTCTGTTTACACTTTTCCTTTTTTCCTAAGAAGACACTCTGTCGTCTCAGAAATGCCCACGTACGCCATCTTTGGATGCCAAATGTTTCCCACCAAGTGTTTTTAAAATAAATACTGGTCCGTGCCGCTATAAGGGCACTCAACCCAAGTCCTTTGTTTAGTGAGATTCTGCGCTCTCTGGGGGGTCTTCAAAGGCCATAGTCTGCACCGCTGTGAGCGTGGAGCAGTCAAATGTCTGTTTTGATTTTGTCCAAAGAGCTGTCAATCTTTGTGAGTGTCTTTTTGATCCGTAATGCTGTTAACCGCGCCGAGGGGTTCTGGTACCAGCACTCCTTCATGAGTTTGGCCAAGGAGCTTAATGTCTGCAATTAAAAAAAAGAGAAAATGCGGTTATTTAAATGTATGGGAAATAATAAATGGAGAATAGACATGAGAAGAGTGAAAATGAGACGGACCGGGTCAGAGAACCAGCGGTTTGGGATGTTGGGCCTCTGCTGGTCCACACACACCACTTTCTTCATGTCCTCGAAGCTCGGGTCACTGGGAACCACGTCGTGAAAAGGCGGCTTGTAGTCCTCTACTATGCCTACAGAGAAAAGACGCAAAATATGTTAGCGATTTAGACAAACACTTTTCTGTATGGTGTTATTATTAAGTGAAAATTGTTGATCAATGTGCACTGTCCCTCGCCAGACTGGCACCGTCTAATGCCTCCACTCAATTTAATTTCTCTCCAGCGACTAGATCAGGAATTGGAATACACTAGTTGGTTTGCAAGAACCCCGGAAGTTGTAGACCGCACAAATCAGCGAAGAGCTGTGAAGCCATGATGTGAAACTCAAGCGCCTGTCTGGGTCCCTTCTGTGGTTCAGCACAACAGTAAACAAAGCATTTGAGACGGATGTAGATGAAGACAGACATTCTGTGTTGGCAACGATTCCCGAGATCGAGGATTTAAAACCGGATCAAAGAGAACGTTTGGTGAATTTTATCAAGGGGAAAGATGTTATTGCCCTGTTTCCTACGGGATTTGGCGCATTATATACGTCACGACCAAATAGCAGCGATTGGTTAAATAAAAAAAATTACACGTCTACCGTCGAGCGAATGAATCCTAATGCTGCAAGGTCAGATGAATCAGGCTACACTGTCCCAGATTTAACAAATAAACATAAGAAAATGTATAACTGTTTTTAAGTATCAAAAAGACCAATTGCCCTTTCATTAACGATGCGATTTTGTAATTTTAGAACATTGTACAACCTTGTTTGTGGTAATACTATTTCATTGTAAGCAAATATTTAAATGCCCTTAGTATGGTGTCACTTTTTTTTTTTTTTTTTTTTAACTCTTGCGATCTTTTAAACAGTGAGGAGATTTCCTTGTTGCTGTAATTTTGACAGAAAGTTAAAGTTCAAACTAAACAAAATTTAAAAAGGGTAATTTCCTTTGTTTATTAGTCAAACAAAAGTAATTCAAAACTAATACAAGGCAAATTTTGATGGTTGCCATTAGGGATGTAACGATATCCAAATCTCACGGTACGATATTTATTGCGATATTTTGTGGAGGCTTACAAAATTGTGAGTATGCTACTTTTTCCTCTTAAAATGCCTTGACAAGACTTAATCCAAAAAACTAAAACTCAAAAGTGCTTAGAACGGTTATTTCTTCATGTAGTTTGCACTAAAACGAGCAAAGGATCATGGTCTATGTAGTTCCCTCTGTTTTTTTAGCTGTTGTTGCACCATAACAATGAATTTAAGCAAAGAAAGTTGTGATTCGATATATTGTGATTGCACACGATATTATTGAGAGACTTTTGACGATACAATATCACGATGTTTTGGTTATTGTTACACCCTAGTTGCCATAGATACAGATTTGCGTTGACTGATATTGCAATAAATTGTTTCTGTGCACATGGCAAAGTTTTTATTCAGCAATTTTCTCTTTTAATATGAATTTTATGATGATTATTTATGTTTTGATTTGCTTGTATTGTGAATTCAGTGTCTTTCTCATTCAGTACAGCATTTTGAATTACTTTGTGTACAAATTGTGCTGTACAAATAAACATGTCTTGCCAATGATTCCCAAAACACAATGTACAATGTCTGTTTAATGACTTGAAATGGTTTCAACATGTCCTCACCATTACTGACGGTCCTCCTGGCGATCTCCCACAGGACCAGCCCCAGAGCCCAGATGTCCACTCTCTTGAAGGACTCGAAACAGTCCATCTGGATCGAGTCGTCCAGCACTTCGGGGGCCATGTAGCGCTTGGTGCCCACTTTGGGGTTGTTGCCCACATCCAGCTCATTGGTGTCTTGGAAATGCATGACCGCCAGACCTACCACACATCAACAAACACCTTTAGATACGAAGCTCACCTCGACCTGCTTATTTTTGGGAACATATGCTTAGCTAAGTTGTTTTTGTACACAGGATGTTTTTTGTTTTTTGTTTTTTCCCCCCAAATGAGAGCTTACTCACCAGGGAACAAGCAACTGGTTCCCTGTGTATCGGGACATTAGGATCAATCAGATGTCAGTAATGAACATGGCTGGCTACGTGGGGACTTGCAGCTGAATTATTTTTTTTTGCTGAAAATGGAAGCAGCGCTGTATGAGACAAAGTGGTCTGTGCTCTTCAAAATAGATTTCTAGTTAAGGGCTGTTAGATGTCTGAAGTAGGTATTTGGTTCATAATGAAAAACAAAAAAATATAGCCATGCTGAAAGATGTTGCAGAGTTACGTTTCATCTAAAATATTCCTCTTATAATTCTGTAAATTAAGATCCGAATTTGTCTATTAAATCATTGCATATGTTTTAAAGTTCACACCTTAGGATAGTTCTAAATTAGCTCACCTTTAGTTAGTACTTTCAGATTGATAATGGCTTCCAAATGGTGAGCGGAAATGTCTCTATTTTAAGAAAACTTTGTCCAGATGACTGCCTTTGAAATCTTAAATATCTTGGTAGAAATCTTCACTATCAACAGTTATATTAAGATATTTATTTTGGCTACAGGAACAAACTCTGATTACATTCGCAATAAGTTCAATAGTTGGCCACTTTGCTTTGATTATGAAAGTTAAAGGTGCCCCTTTCACCATGGTTATGTTGTTTCTTTGTCTTGAATGTTCAACAGTATGTCATTAAACTAGCTGATCTTGCATTTATTCTCTCACTGTGGGCAGGGTCACCACTCAACAGATCAGACCTGTAACAATTTGACACCTGCTTGTCTCCATGGAGATAGTTAAGTTTAATCCCCCATGTGGATAGGATCTGTTACTTTGAGACAAGCCTTCCACCAGTAAAGTTGCATTGTGCACTAGGGCTGCTCGATTATGGAAAAAATCACTATCACGATTATTTTGGTCAATACTGAAATCACAATTATTCAAATGAATTTTTTTTTGTTAGATGATGCATTTATTCAGCATTTCCCTCTCAAAAAAAACCCCACTAAAAACAATAAATATAGACTACAAATATATACCTTAGAGCAGTTTTGGGATGTATAAAACATAAAATGAATAAAATATACTTTACACATGAAATAAGGCATTGAAAAACATAAACGTATCCAAAATAAACTATACATCCAGCTGTTCTACAATCCTTATGCTCAAAAAATAACAAATATACTTATTTATATAAAAAATATCCCAAAACAAACTTTGTTAAGCTTTAAATTATTTCAACTCAATGATATGAGTTTGGAGACTGACACATAAATCGAAATCACGTTCAAAATTTGATTAATTGCACAGCCTTATTGTGCATCTTTAATGAAAAATGCTCCGTGCTAAAAGTTAAAGGTACATTATGTAACTTTTCTGGTGGAGGGTTCGCCAGATGCTTTTCTCTAGATGTTAGTGCTTTGTCTGTAATGTTTCACAGTATGGCATTAAACCGTTCTATCCTCATGGAGACCAAATCAGACCCAACATCAAATCTGTGGAGAGGCAACCCTGTTCCCAGTCAGAATGCCTGTTTTTCTAGGTATTTTTTAGTTAATAAATGTAAGGTAGAGCTGTTTAATGTCATACTGTGGAACATTCCAGGCAGAGTAATAACATATCCACAGAAACATACTTAATGTCATCTATACAATATCAAAATAATAACTTTGGTACATTAGGTTTTGAATTCGTCTCCCACACTTACCTAGATCAGCGATACAGCACTGGCCGTTCTTTTTCACCAGTATATTTTTGCTCTTCAAGTCTCTGTGGGCGATGGCCGGTTTGCCTTGAGTGCCGAAGATCTCCACGTGGAGATGTGCGAGGCCGCTGGCGATGGACAGCGCCATCCGGAGGCAGCTGAGGGCGTCGAGCGTGCTGAGCTGCAGGTAGTCGTACAGGGAGCCCATCTCGTGATAGTGCGTGATGAGCCAGAGCTGAGTACTGGAGTTACGAGAGGTCATGTCTGAAGCAATGAAGCCTGGGAAAAAATATTACAAATAGATTATAAAACGTGTTTAACCATCATAATTATCACACCAAAGTAAACAGTTCAAGTATTATGCATGATACACTGCCAGTCAAAGGTTTGGACTGACTATTTTCTTTATTGTAAAATATTTAGTTATTAATATATTGAGTAGGGATGTAACAATAACTGAAATATCTTGATTTCGTATCGTCAAAGTTCTCACAATAATATCGTGGACTATCACAATATATTGAATTACAAGTCTCTTTGTTTAAATTAAGAGTTATGGTGCAGCAAGAGCTAAAAAAAGACAGAGGGAACTACATAGACCATGATCCTTTGCTCCATTTCAGTGTAGACTACATGAGGAAATAACAGTTCTAAGCACTTTTAAGTTTTAGTTCTTTGGATTAAGTCTCGTCACCCCTAATACTGAGTTATGTTAAGTTTCTTTCTTTACTAAATAATTCTATACATCTTGCTTTATATAATTGATGTCTTCCATATGTATCTCAAATGGAGAAAGTAGTAAGAAAAAAGAAAAACAAAACATTTAAAGAAACAGTGTGTCCAAACTTTGAAGGTAGTGCATGTATTCTTATTGGCTTTTAAACTTGCCCCTTGAATACATTTGCTTTGGCATCTTAGAACTTTGGCATTTCAAAACTTAAAATAATGGTTAGTGAAAGAATTATTATTATTATTACATTATTTCACAGCTTCAGTGCTCATACTTGAATATGGTGCAGCTCGCCATCTACTGGCAGCAGACGGAATCAGCATGAGGGAAAAAAATGTAACTACGTAATAAGGAAGATGCCTCAACATGTTTATGTAAGCACAAAGTACTAATTAATTTGTGCTATTTGATGACAGAAATGCTTGGAGGGAGTCCAGCGATCATACTTGTGACGCAACAATCCTGAGAAAACTTAAATCACATATTTTTTGAGGTTGAGACTCGAAAGATATTAACATTCCTGAAAGCTTTGTGAATCAAGCTAAACAACCCCAGGTATGCTTACGATGAAGGAACAATGTAATAATGTGGTTAAAAATTAATTTTGTATAATTTATTTCTATTATGATTTCACTTATGTTACACGTTCTATTGTATACAAATGTAAATCTCTACTTGCCCAAAATAAATACATAAATACAAATAGAAAATACAAATAATATGCATCTTTAACTGTTTAAACGACATACCGAGAATATTCTCATGCCGAAGCAGAACAGTGTTGTAGATCTCCGTTTCTCTAAACCAGGACTTCTCGTCTCTGGAGGAGAAGATTTTGACGGCCACGTTCTCGCCTTGCCACTGGCCTCTCCACACTTCACCATAGCGACCCTTTCCTGGGGACAAAAACATGACAACACCGGTCACATTTCATTGCACACATTTGAATTACTCTTAGGTCTAAGGTACTCTGAGACACTTTTGCTCGTGGTTGACTTGTTAAACAGCTCTTTTGGTCTTTCAATGTTTAACTCAGTACATTTTTAAACCCTGACAAATAAAGTAAAGGTGCAAAAGACAAAACAATCTCAAAACAATATACATAAACATATCTTTTCTAATCAAATTAGAATGTCTCTGTGTTCATAGCTGCAGCTCTTGTGTGGTTTTAGTTATGAGGAATTTGTAGAACTTGATTGTGGCAGCCTATATACATTCCTTTCACCTAGTTTCATTCTTTATTTCTTTTTTTTCCAGATTGAAATTACTTTTGGCAAGACTAGTAATCAAAGGTATGAAAGTTTCCATTTTAGCTTGTCCTGGTGTATAGTACCACGACCATCTTTTAAAATAAATTACGTTAATACAATTCTGCACATAATTTACACACACTTAAAAGATGGACTAAGTAACTTTCCTGGTGAAATGTCCGCCACCTGCTTGTCTCCATGGAGATGTTATGACTCTGTATGCACTGTTCCACAGTATGGCGTTAAACTTATCTTCATGGAGACAAGCAGGTGATGCCACTTGACCAAGTGAAGGGTCAGATCTATGGAGAAGTGGCCCTGCTCATCTCACTGAATAAACAAGAACAGGCTCTGTGCAGTTTTATCTCTGAGGTTTTTTGGTGAGTTGTGCTAAAATGAATAAATATTTAAAGGTAAGGCAGTGAACAGGGAGCTGTGGGTGGATGTGACTGATGACATATTAAAAACTACACAAATAAAATGAATACCAGATGACACTTCTGTGTCAAGGTTTGGGTCTCAACACTAACTCTAATGTAAAGTTTGAGGCATAATAAAATATTAAAACAACTCCTTAAACTGAAGTCATTTACATTTAAAAATAATTGAGCAGCCTTTACTTTAAATAATTTGAATTTTAATAGGTTGTTTAACAGGTTGCGTTGTATTGTTTTCAAAGGCCTGTGCTTATTGGTGCATGGGCCCAAAAAATAATTTTCTCTTCCACATTACTTTCTCAATATGAGCACCTCCCACCTGTGTGACGTCTGTAACCCCCCCGCTCCTCGACTTTCACCTCCCGGGGTGGGGCACATCAAAGCATCTGTGCGTACACCGCCCGGATGGTTAGCTACGGCTCTGGATTTGACTAGTCAGAGCGAGAGCTGCTAGAGCGGAGCGAGCACGAGCTCAGAGCGGGGCTAGGTGAACTTTTACAAAGCTAACTTTTAGGCGCTTTGAGGATTTAAAAAATTTAAAAAGTTTATGTTGTGAAAACAGAAAGAATCCCTACAAAATTCAACCTTTTTGAAAGTTGTCAGTGATCTTTCAGTCAAACACGGGCAGTTTGAATTCTCAAAAAAATGCACTGCGCTCTATGGGAGAATTCTTTCTGAGCCAAGCTCCCAGGAGCTGCAGTACCTGGAGCGGCTACGAGTCGGTCTTGAGCCGGAACAGAGGAGGAGGGGCTTATCCAGGTTTTATTATAGATCCACGTTTGAGACACAGTGAGCTAGCTAGCGTACTGCTGTGGACAGAGCCTACTATTAATGCCATACTGTGGAATACTCAAGGCAATACGATAACATCTCCATGGAAACAAGCCGGTGACAGACCATCTACCAGAGCAGTTACTTACTTTGCCAATTGTATGATCTTATTGATATGAATTAGGCACATTTTAAAGCAGTAAACAGTGTAGTTAAAAAGTGTTACAGATTAATTAGTCAAGTAAGTAGTACAAGGTAGGGATGTAACGATATCCAAATCTTATTATCACGATATACATCTCACGGTACAATATTTACTGCGATATTTTGAAGAGGATAATATAATTGTAGATGGGACACTTTTTTGCCTTTAAAATACCTTGATAAGATTTTGGTGTGAATTATTTCCGCCATAATCCCAAGAATTCAACTAAAACATATCTCTTCATGTTGTCTGCACTGAAATGAATCATGGGATATGTAGTTCCCTATGTTTATAAGCTGTTTCTACTGTAAAACCATGCATTTAACCAAAGGAACTTGTGATTCGATATATTGTGACAGCCCACGATATTATTGTGAGACTTTTGATACAATATCACGATATTTTGGTTATTGTTACATCCCTAATACAAGTACTACAAATTTGTTAAGCAGAACTATTGGGCCAGCTCTTAAATATACTACCAATTCTACTATGTACTTGTATGTTACTTGTTGTACTACTACAATAATATCTCCATGGAGACAAGAGAGTGACGTACCATCTACCAGAAATGTTACACACTGTGCCAATTGTACGGCCTCAATCATATGAATTAGTCGCCTTATGCTGAATCCACTGCTGAATACAAACCACTAGGCTGCCACTTACCCACACATTCATTCAGCGTGATTTGTCGAGCCACTGTTCTCTGGACCAAGAAGGGCAGTCCTGAGCCGCTCCCCGAGGTGCACGAATGGTCCAACAGATCCTGAGAAAAAAAAAGACGACACAAAACATGAGGGGCTGCGTGTGTTGGGACCATGTGAAGAATCAAATCTTTTCAAAGCCATCCCCGGGCGCTAGGTTTTAAAATGATGAAATAAGGAGCATCTGGATTCCAAGGGCTGCTGGGTCTTTGATGTGGCACCCATGGGAGCCGTGTGTGCGACGCAGGGCAACAATATGAGGGTGGGTGTTTATCACGTCGTGGGGACTGGAGTCGGTACGCGCATTCAGTTCAAGGGGACCTGTCTCGCTTACGGGGAAAGATTAGGGCCTCATGATGTAAATTATTCGATCAAAAGCATGGTTTGAAGGTCTGATGCGGATTAGAATTAGGACAAACAATAATTCATCCATTTTAATATTTGAAACATCTAAATTTCAGGTGGTTGCATAAAAAGTTTCAACATTTTATTCAGAATTTCAGCTAAATATACCAAAAAACACCCTATATAATCGATAAAACCGCCCAGAATATGGATACCGTATGCCAATCACATCACTAGTATCTCGATATAGCAATATTTAGCATTTTAAGTTTAAGTAAATTGTAATTATGGTTAATGTTAGGCTCAATCTCCAGAAAAGCACTGAAAGTCAATGTAATGTCCTTAAACACTATGCAGACCCAAACATTGTGCACAGCTGGGTGTGTGCCTGTGTTCTTGTTGTCCAGAGGTGTGGAGTGCCCCCTGGTGGTTAAACCTCACCACTGCCTTACCCCCTCCCCGGTGGCTGGCTGGTGTGGGCGCTGGAGATTTGATCTAATCCCAGGGCCAGACTCCAAAACAGGCGCAATGCTGCTAAGCCTTTTATTTTTATCTCACGCTGCTTAGACTGGCAGCTTCACAGAGCGACCACATGGGGGCGTTGCGGCAGCTCAGAAATAAACACAGGTCTGGGAGAAGAGGAATCAACATGAGTAATGCCTCTTGGATAAACACATGCATAATGGAGGAGTGGCCTGGAAGACTATTTCGGAAAGCAACAAAGATAGGTGAAAGGCCGTCAAATAGAATAAGGTGTCACTCTGTTGAGACTTTAAAGGTTCAATATCACACAAAATTGACTCTTGTGAGCTTTAATCCATGATAAAATGTTGTCACCAGCTCAAAAACAAACCAGGAATTGTGTTTTGTTTCATTCATACATCATTCATTCATCTGAGTAATCCTTCTTAATCGTCTGTCTACAGCTAACAGCAACATTTCAGCTTTTGTTTAGTAGAGATTGGCAAGACTGAAATTATCCAAATGATTCTAGTGAAGGTGTACGGAGTTTAAAAACACAGTGGAGCACCTTCCTGTATTACCGCATGACGTCACAAGGTGGAACAGAGTGTACTGAGTCTAAATACGCAGGATTTGGGTGTCAAATATGAAACAAAACAAAAGAAAACTCTAGATATAATGCAGTTTCCTCATCAAAAACATAACATAGACGAGAAAATTGCTTAATATGAACTCTTTAAAAGCTTATCCGAAGAGTTGCTTTCTGCGGTTATATTTGGGGCCAAGCAGAATGCAATCATGGCAGCTCTGCAGTATCACTTCTAATCAGAGATGACTTTGTTGGGTGCGGAGAGAGAGGCCGGGCGCGTGTGTTTTCGGCTTTTCCACACCGCTGTTCCTCATAACCTCTCTACTCCTGACTGCTGCCAAGAGCTTTTTAATTATGCTCAAACAAACATTCGGAGGGGCTCGTATTTGGGTGTTTCGTGCCAAGTTGAATTGACGCAGACTTTTACAGAGCCAAAACGTGTCTCTCTTGGACCAGCCTCTGCAGCGTTTGATGAAAAGAATAATAAGATAATGTGGGTATTACACAGTGTGATAGGCTGCAATGTCTGAGTGCAGCGTTCCAAAAGTAAACCGAGTAAGTGGGTGTAGTTTTATAAATGGAGTAAAGTTTCAAACACCTTTACACCTTACACATTTAGTAACACTACGACTAATCAAGATGTAACATATATTGTAGTGAGTGGGTGTATTTTTTAAAATGTAGTTTCAAATACTTTTACTTCAAATTGGTAACACTATTATCCTCCTGAGACCCGGCCTATTCATTTGTGTCCTTTATAGTGGACATTGAGTTAACCAGTCTATCTTTTAAGTGTTTTGAGATAGACTCTTGATGGGGAGACTAGGTTCCTTTGCTTAAATAGAGCTTGGAGATTATAGGGTGGTCAATAGGAGTTAATTTGTGGCTGCACTATGATAAAATAATAATAAGAAGAAAAAGAAATAAGAAATTAAAAGAGTCTAAAAACTTTATGAGGCGACTGTAGAAGCTTGTCCGGGATGCTGGTCATCAAAAAAGTTGTTTTTGTTAGGCCACATGGATTTAACACCAAAATGTCCCCAATGTCCATTACAGAGGACATGTTATAAAATGATAAATAAAAATAAAATTAACAAAATCTAAATGCCAAGGTGTTCATTTACCTCCAGATAGAAAGAAAATCACACAAATATATATATATTGTCCCAGGAGGATAACTACACTGTAATTAGACTTACTTAATTCATAATGTACAAATAGTTTATAGCTTAATAACAACTTAATTAATACCCAAACTCTATCCTCTAACCATAGCCCGTTAACTAAGCAGTTACTAAGCCTGAATCTTTCTTAATATAATTTGTTCATCATGAATTAAGAATTTCTTGTTTTATTAAAAGTGCATTTTGTAACTTCTGGTCGAGGGTCCGTCAAATGCTTTTCTCCATGGAGCTGTTACTGTTTTGGCATTAAAACGTTCTATCTTCATTGAGACCAAACCAGACCAAGTTACAGGTCAGATCTGTGGAAAGGCAACCTCGCTCACAGTCAGAATGTCTGTTTTTCTAGGTATTTTTTTAGATATAAAACCACCTGTAACTGAATAAATGTAAAATAGAGCTGTTTAATGTCACACTGTGGAACTTTCCAAGCAGAGTAATGACATATTCATAGAAACAAGCAGTGAACCTATAAAGCTGTAAATAGTGTAGCTATTAGGGATGTAACAAGAACCGAAATATCGTGATATCGTATCGTCAAAAGTCGTGGGTCATCACAATATATCGAATTACTGTTCTCTTTGCTTAAATTCTTTAATATGATAGAGCATCAACTAAAAAAGCCAAGGGAACTACATAGACCAGGCATGTCCAAACTATGGCCCATGGGCCAAATGCGGCCCTCAGACAAGTTTTTCTTGGCCCAAATTACCTTGCATCAATTAAAAATTAACTTTATACTGCAAATTTTTTGAAAATCTACTTTGATAAAGCGAGTATTTAATATTTAGTGTGTGGTTTCAAGGATCTTAGCATGAATAAAGACTGATGGCTCATTCTAATGTGTTAAACATGAACATATTTCAATTATTCACTGTATTGAGCTTCAGTCTTCTGCTCTCGATCAGCCCTCTGCCTCATCTGTGTTTAGATATGTGGCCCTTGATGAAAAAAGTTTGGACACCCCTGACATAGACCATGAATGATCCTTTGCGTCATTTCAGCACAGACACCATGAAGAAATTACGTTATTAAGCACTTTTAAATCTTAGTTCTTTGGATGATGACAAAAAAGACAGACCAAAGGACTGTCAAGGTAAAAGAAAAACAATTGCGTAGTCACAATTCTGTTAGCCTCTCCACAAAATATCACAATAAATATCGTACGTGACATGCATATCATGAAAATATCGTATTGAGGGATCTGGATATCGTTACATCTCTAGTAGTTATTATAAAATATTACAGATCAATTAGTCAAGTACAAGTACTACTAAACTAATTTGTTAAGCAGATTTTATTAGGGGGCTACTATTGGGTCTACACTTAAATATACTACCTATTCTACTACTATAAATTACTTGTGGTACTCCTCTTTTTCACTTTAACGTCAAAATAAAAGTCTATAAACTGAAAAAAGTAGCAGAAATATTTTGTATGTTTTAGAATATTTCCAAAAATGCACTCAAGTATAATTGCACAGTAAAAGTATCTATTTACTACGCTCAAGTACGAGTTAACATAGAATCCAAACTGCAATGTTTCAGCAGGACATGATTACACACTTGAGCAAACCGCAAGACTCCACCCAAATTCTGGATCATTTTAGCAAACCTCAAACTCAAACCACTGCGTACAAACGCCAAGACTGAGTGGAGACGGAGCAAATGGTATTCACAAACAAAATGAAGGAAAATATATGAGGAAAATGATCGTTTTGTTGGCTGCTGTGTCTCTAATCGCTTAATACACAACATATGGAGTCTCATTCTATGTTTAAATATTTACACGCTGCATTCATTTGTTGTGTAATGACAAGTAGTGGTCCCATGCAGTGCTGCTGGATACACGCACTACTGTATTGTTTTGAGAGAATTACTTCAAAGCTACCACTGCTACTGTGCCGTCAAGTCAGTAATTATTGTTTGTGCATCCTCGTGGATCTTATCACACAGATGGGGTCTTTGTTCAGTGGGATTCTTCCATTTTACAGGAGTTTCTATGCTTAGTTTACACGGAATACAGGAAGGTTAATGACTCAAGAGACACAGATGGAATTTGAGACATTTTAGCGAAAAAATTAATTAATCAATTAATTATTTAAGACTGCAGGTGGCCTACAACGATGCTTTACAGGTGCTTTTGAGAAGGCCACGATGGACGAGTGCGACAGAGATGTTTGTTACTGCATGAGTGAACACTTTGCGAGCTGCACTTAGAATTTTAATGTACAGTTTTACCTGCAGACTGAACAAATCAGACAATGACATAATAATGTCACTCACAAGTATGAGATTCAGTGCAATAAGATATCAGTCCAACATGTGGAGACACTAGTATGGTTGTCTTTAAACATAAATGTTTATTGTTTTGTAATGTCACTGTCCTTGTCTGTTTTAAAAATGGACCCTGAGTCCGGAATAAAGATGATGATGATAAATTAAAAACTATGCTATGATTAGACTTTCTTAACAAAACTGTAAACGCAATTACAGAAAAGATGTTGTAAGTTGCAAGTTGGCAGGAACAGCTAAATAAAAATTGTATATATCTTATTAGTTGTGTCTCCAGTCCAAAGTTTGATTTCTGACAGACTGTATGGCTATTCAGTTTTTACAGGCGCTGCACCTGATTTTTGTCACCGTATAAAAAAATGTGAAAAACAGAACTAGTTCATTTTATTACTCCTCACTTACCTTATGCATTCTGAGCATACTAAATAGTCACCGCAATGAGTTTATAAACGCTTTTCATAAACGCTGTTGTGAAGTTTTGCTGTCATAACTACTAAGAAAGGAAATGTACTGACTTGAAATGTTTTAAAGTAACTATCGGTGTTGATGTATTGTCTTGAAAATGGAAAAGGGGACAGGTGACATAAGATGACTCTTCTTTCTGCTCCTTTTCATTCATTTTTTGTATGTTTGATGTTGTGACACTGTTACAGTCTTTTTATAATTTATGAATGAAATAAATAAACTAATAAAAAAAGGATAATACAGCTAATAACAGTTAATAATAACACTGGACATTAAAACACTTTGTAATTAGTTGACTTATTTTGATGTCAAGAGCTGAGTGTACAATATATCTGTATTGGAGCAAGACAGATTTTGCTCAAATACGTGAAAAATCATCTTTGAACTTAACTTTAAAAAGAGCCATGTCTTTGTTTAAAGATGCATTGCGTAATTTTTCTGGTGGAGGGTCCGTGAAATTCTTTTTTAGAGATGTCATTGCTTTGTCTGGAAGGTTTAACACTATAATATTAAACCTTTCTAACTTCATGGAGACCAAATCAGACCAAGTTACAAGATTTGTGGAACGGCAATCTGGCTCAGAGTCAGAATGCCCGTTTTTCTAGACATTTTAAGGCAGTAAAACCACTTATAATTGAATAAATGTCATGCAGTAGAACATTCCAGGAAGAACCTTTAGAGCAGAAGAGGTCTCGCCAGGTGTACTTTACAACGCCGTGCTTACTTAATTATAACTTCTTTACAAAGCTTCTATTCTCAGCACAGACAGTCTCTTTATCGTGGCCAATACTTACTGCCAGCGTGCTCTCCCCCACGTTGGAAGCGATGAGCCCGTCGATGGTTCCATATTCGGCGTCTCTGGAGGTTAGGCGCTCCATCTGGTTGTGGTGGATTCGTCGGAACACCAGGATGGCGATGGCGGAGAGGAGGATCAGGACTATAATGGGCGCCACGATCACAATAGCCAGAGTGGTCACGCTGTAGTGGGAGAGCTCCTCCGCTGTGGGCACACAACGTCAAATACAGTGAGTGGGTTTGGTTGGTTAATCAGGGGGAAACAATACACGTCAGTCAGTTAGTTTGTAGTTAGTTTAGTTGGTTTTATTTTGTTGTGGTTGTTGGTTAGACACAGTGTTAAATTAGCAGTGAAAATGGTTATGCATCTTTGTAAACTGGTATTTTTGGAGCTTTCTTCAATGTTATAATGTCATCAGTCATCAAAAAACATGTCTGAAGAAGTTATATACGCAATCGTGCATGTTTGAGTAATCTAGGGATCTCACCAATGCCCATAAGCCTACATCACCCATGCTCCCACCCAACAATTTTCATTTTCAGCAACTCTAGCATTTTTAAAACGATAAAAGGCAACATTGTGACCTAAATATGTCATGTTTTTATTACCCCATAAAGGTGTAACACCCCCTCTTCAACCACTACACTTTTAGAGCCCTGTCTACATGGGAATACTTGCGGGTAAAAACGACAAAATACTTGATCAGAAGTGCCTTTCGTTTAGAGGGTGACAGCGTTTTGATGGCTTTAAAACGCAAACATCTGAAACCACCCTCCAGAGTGGAAAAGTTGAATACACTCCACCGTAGTGTTCCTGTCTACACTGCCCAAAACTCTGGTCAGATCTACTCACGTCGCGTACGCGTTTACGTCGCATACATCACCACCGAGCCGCCTGACATGCAGCCCTAATCGAATTCCACACACTTTTGAGTCACCGTCTGCACATAGACTACCTTCCAAAATCACTTGTCGAAACACGGAATAAAAAGTGAAGACGCGACGCCACTTTTGCATCTTCTGTTCAGACTGTCATCATATAAACACAGCCTTAGATTCACAGAAAACACTTGGATTATGTATCTGATGCCCTCTACTGGAGAGTGGAGAGGTTTGTGTTTTTATTTGTGTATGTAGCATGAATAGCCTGGACTAACTTCTTACACTTAAATATGGACACATGTGTAGAGCAAATGTAGATTTGATGCCCTCTCCTGGAAACAATAGATACTGAAGCATTTTGAAATGACAAATTTGCAGCATGGCTATAATAATGCAGATGATTGGAAATTGAGCTAAAGTCTTTTCTGCTCAAAGGGAGGCCGAATGTCAAAATAGGCGTGAATTTAAAAAAGCACTAGTATGTTTTTGAATCAAAGTCAATCTGTCCATCTTTGAAAGCTGACTCTCTATAAAAGCAGAACATTTCTTGTATTGATTGAAGCAGCAATCACTGAGCGGCATATTCAGTGAATGTAAAAAAAAAAAAAAAAAAAAAATCACTACTCAGTCGAGCACAACATGTCCACTTTCTTTCACATCCAAAAATCTTTGAATTCTGAAAAATTGTCAATGGCCGATGTAGTCCACAGAGGCCAGCCCAAACAACTGACCACTATTCACAGTTTCCAGACATTCCAAGGGAGCGCCTGAACAGCTCTCCAGGCAGCGCTGACAATGTCCCCCTTTTTTCAACTCACATAGTGCCCTCTTTTTCCCCAAATCTATCCAGCTACAAGCGCATTCATAACAGCTACCAGACATAAGCAAAAGACGCATTAACGCATTTAGATAATTACCAAGGTGCCGCCGCTGCTGTGAGCTTCTGGCAAACTCCTTTAGTACGAGATCAAATGGAAGATTATAAAGCTTTTTCTGCATACATACAGCTGCCCTTCATTCCCAGGTGGGCTCACCCAGTAGGTGCTTGTCAGACAGTTTTGACAGCCGCACAGGGGGACACAGAGTAAGTAGACCATGACTAAATAATATTGAAAATCTCCCCTTGGCTGGCCGCTGTCCCTTGCAGTTCTGTTTTATATGGCTCCAGCCGAGTGACCACTGTGCCCTGAAAAGCTGGGCCAATGGAAGCATCCAAAACAGCTGGGGCAGAAAATATGGCAGCCAGTGGTGTCACCCTCACTGCGCTAAAAGGGCGGTGAGTGGCAGTCACTTTGGAGATGGCATGTTCAGTTAGGCTGTCGAATTTGAATTATGTGAAATCGATTTTTAAGAGCTTTCAACCATGTCGTAGGTTTTCCCTTCTCATTTACCCAGTCAGAGTTGTATTTATTTGAGTAAACAAACATTTAGGATGTCATTGCGCTGAGAATTACAATTTTTTTCCTACCCCCGATACAAGAAAAGCGCTGTATACTCTTTACATTCACAGATTTTTAGAGAGCTTTTTCAGTTTCAACACACATTTCAATACTATAGCTTTAAGTATCTGCTTATATCAACAAACAGAACAGTATTTACTTCCTTTAAACAAAAATAAGACAAAACTGCTCCAAATGTGTTGTGGAGCTGTTATTTATCTCTCTAGTATCCACAGAACAGCTTTGTATACAAAAACAAGTTCAGATATTGAGACTTTCTGGGTCAACCAAGTCCAGTAAACAGTCTTATTACATAAAAAAAAAAAAAAAAAAATATATATATATATATATATATATATATATATATATATATCTTTCCATTTTATTTTTACTTGTACATTTACGCTTATTATTATAATTATGTCTTATTTGACACCTGTCTCTTGCTATCTTTTTAACTACTTATTTAGAATTTATTTTACCATTTATATTTTTTCTCATTGTTATTACATTATATTGTGATTAGGGGTGTAACAATATCCAAGTCTCATGATATGATATCGTCACCGTATAAATTTCACGGTACGATATTTACTGCGACATCGTGGGAAAGATCACGAATATCTTATGATATTTGCGCAATATTTTCACGATATACATCTCATGGTACGATATTTATTGCGATATTTTGTGGAGGCTACTTGTGAATATGCTACTTTTTCCTCTTAAAATGCCTTGACAAGACTTAATCAAAGAACTAAGACTTAAAAGTGTTTAGAACAGTTTTTTCTTCTTGTAGTCTACACTGAAATGGAGCAAAGGATCATGGTCTATGTAGTTTTGGCTATTGCTGCACCATAACTCTTAATTTAAACAAAGAGACTTGTGATTCGATATATTGTGATGGTCCATGATATTACTGTGAGAACTTTGACGATACGATATCGCGATATTTCAGTTATTGTTACATCCCTAATTGTGATGCGTGAGCTACTGTGTCCAAATAATTTCACTTGTGGATAATTAAAGTTTGTGTAAGTCTAAGTCTCTAAACAAACATATCCACCCAGAATACAGACTGAACCGATATTTGGAATCTAATATCCGATCTAACAAAATTTTCAGAATCAGCACTGATATCTGATACCGGTATCAGATCGGTGCATCCCAATTTTTTTATTTTCATATTGTGATACACGTAGGATTCAACAGTGCTATGATGAAGTCAGTGGCACAAATGAAACAAAAAAGCCACTTCTCGCCAACTGCAACTATGTGCGATCAAAACTGCACATAGGCTTAGGGAGTCTGCAATTTGTAATAAAATACAAGATTGCAAAGAGGTTGCATGTAAAGAACGACTTAAAGATCCTGTTGGTGCATCACTCGTGGTCAAACTTGGTCTCTTATGTATTTATGTTCTATGGTGGTGCTTGTGTGGTGCTTTTAGATAAGATAAGATAATCCTTTATTGTCCCCCATGGGAGAAATTTGTCTTGGGACTGGGGATAACACGCTTTATCAAAGAAACAGGACAACACAACACAAAGCACCACATAAACAAACACCATAGACCACCGTTTTGTTGTTGTGTTGTCCTGTCTTTGTGATAAAACATGTGATCCCCTGTTCCAAGACAAATTTCTCCCATGAGAGACAATAAAGGATTATCTTAATTACCCATAGACAAAGCTTTAAGTATGGTCTTTGTTGTTGTGTTTATGTTGGATATTAGTATTGCAGTTTAGAGTGGACAGTTGTCAGTGGACTAGTAACTTTAATTTAGTTATTTTAGGATCAACTTTGCAATTTAAAATGTCCAAAATATATAATAATCATCCACGGGTGTCATAGATTATAACTATAGCAGACAAAAGCATAATATCTCTCATTAATGCACATTTCAATTAGGACTGAACAGGGTGAAATAACTTGGGACGATAAAGTCATTTTTTTATTTGGAGGATTCATAGTCTGGCTCTTGAAGCAAGCTAATAACTTGGCAAAGCTTTCTGAGCATACTTCACTTATATAAATGAAAATGAACCAAAACAAGGACTAGGGGGCAGGGAGCCATTTTAATTATCATTACTTAAAACCATTTGCCTGCCGTGGTCTCCAATGAGAGAAAACGCAATTTAAAAAGTCCCTTCAAACCAACCATCTGTACATAGTGATATTATAACTTTTTAACCCAAAATATGAGGCTAGATTGCTGATACTAGCCTGTAGCTTGGTTCAATCATTACATGGTGTTGCATGAAATTTTCTCATTTTTACCAAGGCCAAACGCTGCCTGGACCACATGAATATAACATCACCCATATTGGAGCGTAGTGGAATAATGCCTCAATTCATCTTGTGCATGTCAATTTGACAGCTATGAACATAGAGTATTGCAAAAATGGAATATCTGCTATGAGCTTAAGGTATAATAAATCAATAAATATTTGAGGTGTTTGGATGGGCTCATTTCTTCTTCATGATCTAGATTCTTATAAGATGCAGATGTTTCATGACAGTTCTGACAGGTTATGTGCATGATTTTTGCATTAAATTTGGAAAAATAAAAACTCCTGCCCACAGATAATTGCATGGGAGCCAACAGCCAACCTTTAAATTGTGCCAAATGGTTTGCCTGGTCGGCCAAACCACACGCTATGACAATACTTTACAAAGACGAGCAGGTCTGGAACCATATCCTGTTTTCCCAATGTCCGATGGGTGTGATGGACACGTGGATTATGCAATCAGAGAAACGCATGGTCAGTTTGGGTCAAAACAACCATGGCAGCATACAAGTAAAAAAGGAAAAAGACTGAGAAACAGCTTAGATTTCTGTGGTTTCAACAATCAAAGCACTTAACTCTGATTTATCTCTGGTAAAATAAGTTTTATATATTTTGTTCTGAATGACGTGAATGATTCTTGCTGTTCCAGATCCTTCTGAATGCGACCAGAATGCAGGAGTGACTGGCTGCTCGGGAAACCAAATGGATAATGAATGCAAATTGTTCCTATGGGTATCAACGTTTTCAGGGGAGTGGGAATGTAAAGCAATCACGTACAGAGCAGTAGATGATGTTTTTTTTTAGATGTGGCGTAGGTGAAAATAGGAATTTTCAAAACAATGGCACCTTCAAATGCAGTGCAATAAAGGTTACTTGAGTCTAAATAGTATGTCTGTCTATTTAAATAATACAAAAACATCTAATAATCCATCTAGATAATGTTTTTTAGCAGCTGATATTGACATTTTAACATGTGTCCCTGTGTGCGTTATGAGAAGTTTTCCTTTACCTTTGACCGGCAGTTGCACGGTGCTGTTCATGTTGCAGAGATGGCCATAGCAACACTCCACCACCTGGTCCCTGGAGGGCGGAGTCTTACAGGTGAGAGTGCTCTGCTCGTAGACTTTGAAGCAGCCCTTTTGGTAAACCAGGGAGCCGGTGTTTACAGTCAGAGAGGAGAAACACTGGTGCCCCCTGCAGCGATTTAGCGTCTCACATGAGCTGCCTTCACACACGCACTCATGCTCCTCTCGGACCACCGGCTTCACCACCTCCTCTGCAGAGAGACGACACAATAACAAAGAATGAGACATAAATACAGACAGGAGATTTAATGTATGCAAATGGATTAATGTTGAAATTATCCAAGTGGCGGGAGTAGCTTAGTTAAGTGTATATCCACTGATCCAAAGGTTTGGCGGTTTGAATCCTGCTCTTGACATAAACATCATTGGGAAAGAGGCCACTGTTGTATGTATGTGTATATGAGTGGGTGAGTAGTTGATGTAAAGCTTTGAGTGCCTTGAAGGTGGAAAAGCACTATATAAAAATGTGACCATTTACCAAAGTGGAACTAAACACTAAATCTACTTTTTTTCTGTACTGAAATGTATGGTATACTAGCCTGATTCATCAACCGGTTTGACCTCGCAACATTAAAATTCATTCGCTCTACGGTAGACGAGTACTTTTTTATTTAACCAATTGCTGCTATTTAGTCCTGACGTATGTAATATGCCACTAACAGGACTAACTGGTATATTAAACTTTTCCCATATCCCGCAGGAAGAAGGGCAATAACGTCCTTCCCCTTCATAAAATTCACCAAACATTCTCTTTGTTCCTGCTTTAAATCCTCAATCTCAGGAATCGTTGCCAACACAGAATCTATGGCTCTTCGCTGATTGGCTGGTGCCCGAACTCGCACTTCTAGGGTTCTTGCAAACAGTCTAGTGTATTCTGATTCCTGACCTAGTCGCTTGAGAGAAATGAAAATGAGCGGAGGCACTAGGTGGCGCCAGTCTGACATACAGGTATACAGCATTGTTTCCCAAAGACTTGGTCACGTTAGTAAGTTAGACAGTTAGATTTTAGAGAGTTTTCAACATTAAATCACAGTACTTTCTTTTATATGAGCATGTGGTCTTATATCAGTGTGATCTCTCAGTCATCCAGGTAGGTTCCATAGTGGTCCATTGGTGTATTCTAGTCTATGTGCTCTAATATTTATTCTGATACATCTCAAAATCATACTAAAGCCATTCAGAAAACGTTCATTTCTGTCCTGTGAATGCAGCGTATCAATACCCACCCAAATGAGTATCTAGTTTCGATACTAGCATTAGTATCCGACAACCCTAGAGTGAGTGTGAACAAAGCCAGTCTAACAGCAAAGATAATGTGTACTATTTGCTCAAAGTCACCTTTCCCCGGAGCCTGCACGCTCACGTTCATGTTACACAGATGGCCCTGGCAGCACTTGACGACGTAGGTGGGGGAGGGGGCAGTGGCACAGGTGTCTCTGCCCTCCTGGTCGTCCCTCAGGCAGCCCTTATGCTGCGTGGCCACTCCGTCCTTTATAATGAGCGAGGAGAAGCAATGCTGGCCCGTGCAGTGCTGGTGGTCCCTGCAGGGGGCGCCCTCGCACACGCACTGCTGCTCCCGGAGGACGGGCCTGCCAGAGGACACTTCCACATCTGATAAGAGAACAAGCACAAGCACGTCCATTAGACCAATACCATTAGTGAGCTTTAAATGAAATGGCAGGAGAGCTGATTATGAGCGACATGGGAGTGAGAATTAAATGTGCTCCGTTTGGCAGAAGAAAGAGGAGTTGCGCATATGTGCTGGTGTCTAGTGACATGATTATTGAGAGATTACAGAATGAGTCACAGGGGTATTACGGCTTCTTCAGTGTCTCAAAAACTCAACAGATCGTGTGTCTTTTTTGGACATTCTAATACCATGATTCTTCCAAGTATCTAACCACCGGATCAGAACCAGCACTTTAACAGAACTAAACCACAGCTAAACTAGGGCGAACTGGACTAACCCAAAGGAGAAAAATGAAAAAACTGCAGAGGAGCCGTTCGAGAATCTAATAGGTTAAATGTTAATGACCCTGTAACAATTTTTTCCCATCTATTTGAGAAAAATTTGTCTTGCCCCTGAACAGATATTGTATAAGCAGCTCAAAATATGTCCACTGTGTACTGTCTGCGTATAATTGAGGGATGGGCATGATTAGTCGATAATTGATCATTAAGAATTTCATCGATCACTTTAATTATTAATTGACAAACTAAATGTAGGTTGCTGTGCGCAGTATAAGGAGACGAGGCTGCGTCTGACAGCACAAACACTAGAGTTGTGTACACCAATGACAAACACTTTTCAGTCTTTTCATCACAACAGTAGCCAAAATAAATAAAGGGACCAACATAAATAAAGTGAGTGAAATGACTGTTAAATAAAGAGCTGCACTAAACCTTTACACATATGATCTATGAAAACATGAACCATCTCCAACGTGACATATGCACAGAACAGACCCATCATCATCATCATCATCCCTCTGTCACAGAGAGAACACTCATATTCCACTGAGTCGTGTCCTTTAGTCTGACAGAAGCTGATGCATCAGAGCACAAAGAGCGAGCTGTTTTTTTCAGAGCTTACACTTTATGCAAATTAGCCATGCGGTTTTAAGTTTTGTTTCTGTAAAACGTAAACAAATCTGAGCAAAAGTGCATTAAACACATTATGATCTCAAATAACTCACGTGGCTCTATAGTGGTTATGGTTTATATGTGGTAAAGTTGAGTTTATTTATGCAAATTAGTAACAATATTGATGATAATTTGAATACAAAAACGTTAATGATCAATCAAAAATTGATTGTTAAGTCTCCCGTCGGTTGATTAAGAAAATTTAAAAATAAATAATCAGGAAGGGTGTGAAAACTAACAAAATTAAAAATGAACTACTTCCGTTTTTTATGTTTTAAAAGAGAAGTAAAAAAAAAAAAAAAAAAAATACATTTTAAAAAATCTATAAATTAGCCTGTCCAGGGACGACAGGTGGAAATTAGCACTGATGCCACAACCTGGTACAATGCGTCTCTCCTGTTAAGGTTAATGTAGATTGTGCACTGTCCCTGTCTCATTAACTAAACTAAACTAAAAAACAAACTAAAAAACAAACTAAAAACTAAACTAAAAACCAAACTAAACACTAAAATAACCTTAACTAAACACTAAACTAAACTTAAATCTAAACTTAAATCTAAACACTAAACTAAACATTAAACTAAACTAAAAACTAAACTAAACTTAAATCTAAACACTAAACTAAACACTAAACTAAACTAAAAACTAAACTAAACTAAACTAAACACTAAACTAAACTAAACTAAACTAAACTAAACTAAACTAAACTAAACTAAACTTAAATCTAAACACTAAACTAAACACTAAACTAAACTAAACACTAAACTAAACTTAAATCTAAACACTAAACTAAACATTAAACTAAACTAAAAAACTAAACTAAACTAAAACTTAAATCTAAACACTAAACTAAACATTAAACTAAACAAAAAACTAAACACTAAACTAAACTAAACACTAAACTAAACTTAAATCTAAACACTAAACTAAACACTAAACTAAACTAAACTAAAAAAAAAACTAAACACTAAACTAAACTAAACACTAAACTAAACTTAAATCTAAACACTAAACTAAACATTAAACTAAACTAAAAACTAAACACTAAACTAAACTAAACTAACCAAAACTAAAGTAAACTAAAAACTAAACACTAAACTAAACTAACCTAAAAACTAAACTGAACTAAACTAAACTAAACGAAACATTTCAAAAGAAAAACAAGATTTTAAAGTTTGCTAAAAAGATGGCTCTGCACTTTTATGAAAAGTCATAGTATTTTGTTAAGGAAAGGTGAAAAAGGTGCACACTTTAATTTGCTCCTGGTCCAGGTATGGCCTCATTATAAGCGTATGGGTCAGTGTGCATGTTTTGCTTATTAGCATTTTCAGCCTTACTTTTAAAGTGTAGCTAAATTGGCTCCATGCTGAGAGAGGCAATTTCTTACATTAAACAGACAGCAGACACAAATATTTATCCAGTACATTTCAACGGCTCATTTCACAGCTAATTGATGCTCGCAAAAGCCAATTTATTTCTCAACATAATGACTGTTTTTCCTCAAGTTAATGTGGGAACTTTTACTGAAACTTTCCTTTCATTTGTCACTCTTACCTTTCACTGGAAACTGCAAGGAGACATTGGTGTTGCACAAGTCCCCTTCGCAGCACTCCACCACCAGCTCAGAAGTCGGTGGGCGTGAACAGGCATCGTCTTCGCTACCCACAATGCACCCCTTCTCCGTCACTGCCGTCCCATTCTGCACGGACAGCGAGGTGAAACACTTTTGTCCAAAACACCGGCTGTCCTCGCCGCACGTCGATGCGTCACACTCGCATTCAAAGTTGCTCACGACACCTCCTATAAAAACACAAACGGCACAAGGTCAGTGAGGAGAAGAGTGCTAAATGCTTTGTGTCTGGTGGAGAGATTAGTCAAGGGATAAGTTCTGAAGTGAAATCCTGCGGCGTTCACCAAGCGCGTGCCACTGCGGTGCTTTTTTAAAATAACACAGACAGCAGTTCAGAGGGAGACAGACGCTGAGACCAAAACAAATCGTGTGAATCTGAAGCTATGAGTCATGGGTGGGGACTGGAAGATGGCTCTATTTAAATGTGGGTTAGTGAGGGCGGGGGGTGAAGGGCTGAATTATTGCTTTTCAACATCTCACCCCAAACACAATATATTCAAACCAATTCACTTTATTTATTTAGGACGTTTCATAAACAGGCCAAAAACGCTGCACAAACACACAGTAACCACAGTAGAATGATATAATAATAAATAAATTTAATCAAACTAGTCTTAAATCTATGTAACTTTTCTAGTGGAGGGTCCATCACCTGCTTGTTTCTATGGATACGTCATTGCTCTGCCTGGAATGTTCCACAGTATAACATTACACAGCTCTACATTACATTTAATCAATTATAGGTGGTTTTATAGCTCAAAAATAGCTAGAAAAACAGGCATTCTGACTGTGAGCGAGGTCGCCTCTCCACAGACCTGACCTGTAACTTGGCCTGGTTTCGTCTCCATGAAAATAGAAAGAGTTAATGCCATACTGTGAAACATTCCAGACAAAGCAATAACAGCAAAAGTATTTGACACACCCCCCACCAGAAAAGTTATACAATGTACCTTTACAAAAATAAAACCAGTAAAATCAAAATAAGAGCAGAACCATAAAAGAGAAATTAATAACGTATGATCTGCTCAGGGGTAAGCTAAATATCTAAATATAAATATATATCGTGACTGTATATTAGGTGATACAGTGTTGATATCATGGGCTGCTGTATTAATTTATCACCAAGAGTATTTTTTGGTGTCTTTTACCAAATTATTTTGTGACAGTGCTGCCATGCTGGTGCCACCTAGAGCCTCTGCTCAATTTTATTTCTCCTTCCTTAATACCAAATAAGATATCCAAAATTGTCCCTGTATTATTTATTTATTTTTTTATCTAATATGAAAACAATAAGAAATTTAAACCTGACTCTTTCCATGTTTCCGCTTTGAATGTTCCAAATACAGATGAGTTGGGCACTTTTTTATTTTTTTCATCTGCAGTGCCATGCCATAACTAGTGCCTCCGCTTAATTTAATTTCTCTCCAGCGACTAGGTCAGGAATCGGAATACGCTAGACGATTTGCAAGAACCCCTGAAGTTGCAGACCGTGCATGGGCCAATCAGCGAAGAGCTGTGAAGCCATAACGTCAAACTCAAGCGCCTGTCTGGGTCCCTTTTGTGGTACAGCACAACAGTAAACAAAGCGGTCGAGACGAATGTAGACGAAGACATACATTCTGTGTTGGCAACGAGACTGAGGAAATAAAGCAAGAACAAAGAGAATGTTTGATGAATTTTCTCAAGAGGAAAGACGTTATTGCCCTTCTTCCTACGGGATTTGGTGCATTACATACGTCACGACCAAATAGCAGCGATTGGTTAAATAATAAAAGTACCTGCCTATCGTCGAGCAAATGAATCCTAATGCTGTGAGGTCAGACTGATGAATCAGGCTAAGAAAATTTGGTGATGGTTCAGAAAAAGTAAAATTGTTTAGGCAATACATTTGTCAAACACATGGTTTACTCCATGTTAATGTTGCACAGGTAGATACAAATAAATACTGTTGTGAAAATGTATTTGGTTCTTAAAAATAGTAGCCATGTATTGAGAAATGTACTAAATCATGAGTGACTCTGCGATTCCCAGCCCACTGAAAATTTGGCAACATTTTGTACTTTTTATTTGTTAATTATGCAACTATTAAAAATTTGACTTCTGACTTTTTTGATTCTACCCCACACCGCAAATAGTCAACAGAGTTACATGACCAGAGGACCAATTATGAACAATTTTTCATACTGTCTGTGGAGATTTTCATAACTTTGATTAGGACTGGCAGATATAAATTGTACTTGTGGTGTTCAGATTCTGGAGAGCAGTGATTTCATGCTCCCAGTTGAGGACAAGAGCCAAGAGTTTTCATAAGAAATATCCAAAAGGCAAATTCACAAAGGTTGAACCTGATTATTTCTATTAGTGACTAGACCCAAGAACAATTAAAATTTATGAGATATTACTGGCATAGATAAAGTTGTGATGTCATGTGAAACGCAGTAATTGTGGTTTTAACAAATCAACCATAAGTCTTGAAGGCAGCAGATGCTTTTAAGAGGTAACTTGATCTTACATAAAAGATAGTACGTGTACATGAATCAGGATATAATTAAAGTAGTGATCTCAGCTCTACATAAATTGTGTTTTTGGCACCCACCCCAGCCTCTGAGCATAATCTTGATCATCGGCTCGAAGCTTATCCAATTACAATATACTATAGTGACAGACACTGGCTATGTTTACACGTACAACAAAATCTGATTATAATCGGATTTCTGGACCCTTAAGATTATTTAAAGGGCCCATATTATGCTATTTTCTCAGATTTGATGTAACGTTATGTTATTAGGCTCTTTTTTCAGACCAAGAGTTTGTTTTCATGTGACAGTTTTGACTGCTCGCTGTGGTCTTCCTCAGAGTGCTCACGTGATGTTGTTGTGATGTGTCTAGTCAGCTGATTTATACAGGTTTTGGTGCCATCTTTCTATGTCCTAGAAAGACAGGGCCAAAACCTGTATAAATCAGCGGACCAGACACGTCACAGCAACATCATGTTACACGAGTTCGACGGCTCACTAAAGGTCTTCCAGTGTAACATGATGTTGCTGTGACGTGTCTGGTCCGCTGATTTATACAGGTTTTGGCGCTGTCTTTCTAGGACATACGAAGATGCTGTATAAAACCTGTATAAATCAGCTGACTAGACACATCAAGTATGAAAACAAATAACATAAAATATCAGAAGACCACGTGAACCTCATTGGACTATGATATAATGTTGTTTCCTCTTCAAAAACTGTTACAACAAATTTTCTAAAAGCTCACAAGAGTCAATTTTGGGTAATATAGAACCTTTAAAAGGGCATGAAAGTGTGTGTAATCGGCTTTTTACGCGTTTTAATAGTGTTATAATTCAAAATGGCTTAGGAGAAACCAGATCTGCAACCACTAATGTTAGGCTCCTATGTAAATGTCAGTGTTTGTATGTCATGATTGTGTCTTATTGTGCTGTTTGTACCATGTTTGTTTATTGTGTGACATGTCTTATGTTCTTATGTCTTATGTTTTATGTCTCTGTCTCTCCCTCAGATGAAAAGTAGCCTTCGGGTTAATTCTAGCGTATTTAAGTATATGTTCATGAATATGCATTGTTCATTTTAAATAAATAAAAGTAAAAATAAATAAATAAATCTGATAATTATTAGATTCTGAGTATGAGCATGTGACCACAGCCAGTGTTAAACTATAAAAAGGTGTTATTTTATTCAAAACAAACCTTTACGTTATGTTATTATGTTATACTTTGTTGTGTGCAAATCCCACACTGGCACTTACCTTCCGAGCTGCAGCAGCACGGCACTATCAGGCTGATCAAAAGCAAAGAGAACGTGGCCCAGGACTTCATTGTGGACCTGGAGAGGAGCGGAGAAGAGAAGGAGCTGGTCAGAGCTGCACTGCAGTAAACCCAGCCCACAAACAGAGATGTGCTAATGCTAAAAACTGCCAAAATAAAGGTGATGAACCCCACGCTAACGCTCTTCATTTTACACCAGCCATCTGCGGGACGGCACGGAGCGAGAATTAAGAGACGAACAGGCAAGAATTGTGTCGAATTGTGAGAACGCTTCTAACACACCGAAACCCTTTCTTGTTATTTTGTAAAAGAGTCAACATCAAGTTTTTAACATGCTCAAATAAAGTGGGTCTCATGCCTGCCTGTCGTCCTGGCAACAAGGCATTGAGTGGCAAGCAATGGGGAGACTGGTGCTCTCCGATTGGCTGCCTCTGGAGCGCGCGTGAGGGTGTGTTGATGCCTGGGCACGGCGTGTGTGTGTCACCGGGACAGGCGGCTTGGCACAGAGCGGAGAGGGGCAGACAGACGAGAGGAGGAGGAGGAAAAAGGGGAGAGAAAGAAGAGAGGAGGAGACAGACGAGAGTAGGCGAGGAGAGGAGGGAAAGGGAGGAAGAGGACAGAAGACGAGGAGCGTGGAGGGAGACGGGAAAGGAGCAGACAGATGAGAGCAAACAGGAGGAGGAGAAAGGCGTGAGGAGAAGAAGAGAGCGTGAGAAACAGAAGCAGAGAGACGAGAGGAGAGAAAGAGAGGAGAGGAGGAGACAGACGAGGGTAGGCGAGGAGGGAAGGGGAGGAGAGTGGAAGGAGACAGGAGAGGAGCAAACAGATGAGAGCAGGAGAGGCGGAGACAGACATGTGAGGTGAGGAGAAGAGAAAGAGAGGAGAGAAAGAGGAGAGGAGGAGACAGACGAGAGTAGGAAGAGGAGGAGAAAGACATGTGAGGAGAAGAGAAGAGTAAAGAGAGAGACGTGAGAAGATGGAATAGACAGGAATAGAGAGGAAAGGGAGGAGGAAGAGAAGAGAAAGAAAGGAGAAGAGGAGACAGACGAGAGTAGGCGAGGAGAGGAGCAGATAAGGGAAGGAGAGAGGAGAGCAGAGAGACAAGAGGAGGGGAGAAGGAGAGGGGAAGACATGAGAGGAGAGGAGACAGACGAGAGTAGTCGAGGAGAGGAGGGAGTAAGAGAACAAAAGAGGAGGAGAGTGGAGGGAGACAGGAGAGGAGGAGAAAAAGACATGTGAAGAGAAGGGAGGATTGAGAGGAACAGAGAGATGGGAGGGAAGGAGAAGAGGAGGAGACAGACATGGGAGGAGAAGAGGACATTGGAGAGAGAGAGAGACAGGCAGAGAGACAAGAGGAGGGGAGAAGGATAGGAGGAGGAGGAAGAGGAGAGAAAGAGAGGAGAGGAGGAGAGCGGAGGGAGAGGAGCAAACAGATAAGAGTAGAAAAGGAGGAGAAAGACATGAGGAGGGGAGAAGAGGAGAGAGGAGCAAAGAGACGAGAGGAAGGGAGGAGGAGAGGGGGAGACGGACATTTGAGGAGAAGAAGAGGAGAGCCTAGGGAGAGACGTGAAGAAGAGAAATAGGGAGGAATGGAGAGGAAAAGAGGAACACGCAGATGAGTGAGGAGGAGAGTGGAGGAAATGGGAGGAGAGGAGCAGATAGACAAGTGAGGAGGAGAAGGAGGAAGAGAACAGAAGAGGAGGAGAGTGGAAGGAGACAGAAGAGGAGCAGACAGATGAGAGCAGGAGAGGAGGAGACAGATATGTGAGAAGGAGAAGAGAAGAGTGGAGGGAGAGACGTGAGGAGGAGGAATAGGGAGGAATAGAGAGGAAAAGGAGGAACACGCAGATGAGGAGGAGGAAGAGGACAGAAGAGGAGAAGAGTGGCAGACTAAACGTTGACTCTACGATCTATAAACACTCAAAACGCCACATATTGAGACACACCATCAAGAACAATACCCAGTCTTAACAGCAGAGGGAGTAGAGATCATTATAAACTCAAACTCTGATTGGTTTCGTAACGATTTCAGAAAAAATATCTAATTGCATCTGTTCTGGCGAGGAAGCTACTTGGGATTTTAATTCGATTCAGTTCACAGTACATATTTAAAACAAGTCCACAAACATTTACGCTGTCTAAAAACATCTGTAAAGGCCGAGCGGCTAATAGAGGTTCGCAAAGGATAGTCCAATTACCACCTTAATAACTGTGGCTTTTGTACCTTGACAATTTGCTCCGTTCGTTTTCACCATTGAATATTTGAGTCAAGCGTAATCAATACTGCAGTCCGAGCTTCTTTCAGCTAATGAGTCAGATAAAACAGCCTCTGAAACCAACACTGGGCATTCTACGAGCTTTTATTATCGCGCTTACTGCAGATATTTGAGTCTATTTCATTTCGCCGTGCTTCGCGAACCCACTTTAACCCGCCGACATGAAAGCAACTGCCCCAGCCATTTTATAAAGATGACATGTTAGTTTTGAACAGTGCCCCAAAGCAGTGCCTTTCTCTGTACCACGCTGAGCAGCACCGGGGCTGTTATCTTGGCAGCATGTGTGTGCACGCCTCAATACATCTGCTCCACTGATAAATACGCGCACAGACGATACACACATGCATACACACACACAAACAGCACCAGTCAGTCCTCTCCATCCATTGTGCCACCGTCTACCCAGACATAAATGATTAAGCACGTAGCGTTCGCAATAGCATTAGCCCAACGGCGGCATCTGCTTGGGCCCGTTTGTGCTCGGACCCCATGCTGCTCCTTTAATCAGGGCACAAAACAGCGGCCTGCCACACAGAGATAATCAGGAAGTGTGTGTGCGTCTGTGTGTGTGTGTGTGTTTTGGGGAATAGCGGGGGGTTACTGTGGGCGCTTCCGAATACGGGCAAACGGGAAGGGGGCGTGGCCAAAGGGCAACTGGGGGACAGCGGGTCACGGGAGGCCGAGCGACGGGGTCGGCTGGAGTTTACGGGGTGAGCGGCGGTGGAGCGGTTCGTTTCGCGGTGTTTGCTTATGATTAACGGGGATGCGCGGGGAAACGTGAACGTTGTCGTCGCTAATTGGTGTAACAGCTATTTACACTGTCGACGTGTTTGTTCTCCAGCACTAACTGCTTCAATTAGTCATGCATTATCCAAACTTTTCTAATCTTCGTAATACATTGAGTGTTATCGTTATAATTTGGGGTATTTTACAGTCAGACATAACTTTAATGATAACTGAAAGTGGCAATCCAATGTTTATTTTCTCGTAAAGGCAGATACACTTGCAAGATTTTTTTCAGGGATAGGTTGGTTCGTTGAAGTGGACAGTAACAAGAGTACAAAATTTATGTTGCACTATCACATTTATTTTGTTTGATTTTGCCAAATTTGTGTTGATGTAGGTGGTTGGGGGGAAATTGGGTCTTTTTTTTTTTTTTTGTGGTGTTGTGGGTGTTGCTTTATGTTTTTGTCTTTGTTTCACGCTGAATATTGTAATTGTTAAATGTTGCTTGTTGTTTTATTTTCTAAATGTTATATTCTGTTGTCCTTAATAAAAAAATAAATAAATAAAGAGTACGAAACGTGCATAGCATCTAATAATGTAACCCTAACCCAGTTTTGGTCCCATCCAGTGGCGGAGTTAAGAATTTGGGGGCCCTATGCGAACTTGAGTATGGGGCCCTCACTATATTGCACTGTTTTGTTGTTTTATTTATTTTATTATTATTTATTTTTTTGTTTTTTATTATTTATTGTCTATTTTTCCCCATTGTTCTGGAGACACGCACATCTCTATTTGAACTGTGGTGGATTGGAAACTTGTCTTATTAGTTAGGTCGCTTACTAGATAACCAGAGCTGAAAGAAGTTTTTAGTAGTTTTTTTTGCTAGTACAATTACATTTTTGTTTACATCCATTATATATGATTATACTATGATTATGTTCAAATCAGGGTCAAGCTGACTCGTCCATTCTAACATGAAAGGGGGAGATGCTTTGACAATTACAATTAAAACTATTTTGATGGTGTTTTTTTGTTTTTAAAGTAAACCACTCTAGAAAATCAACCCAGGCAATTGACTGGGGCCCCTCCAGGTTCGGGGGCCCTAAGCAGCCGCCTACTTTTGCCTAATGGTAGCGCCGCCTCTGGTCCCATCCAGGTGGTTTAGGACCCCTAGTTTAAAGGTTATGTGTTATTTTGCTCTCCAAGAAACTATGACCATAGAGGCAGAGAGGCATAGTCCTTTTACTCCTTGAATAAACAACAGGCTCTATTCACGCTTACGTCACAAACCAGGAAGACTGCCCAGGCCCAGGCCCAGTTTTCTTCATGTAAAAGTCATTGTAGAGTTCCGTTATGTTCGGCTAATCAACAATTACAACCATATCTCAGTTTTTATATCTTCTCCACTGACACACAACTCCGAGCGCACTGGGTACATGCAATTAGAAGAGATGAGTGTGCCAAATTCCAGATGATTCCAAACAGCACATACGTATGCAGGCTTCATTTTACCGCTGATCACATTTACTTCAATGGGTTTTATCACAGGAACTACACTGGAAGTTGTCATCGCATTTTTCCAAACGTCTTCCTGGTTTGTGATGTAAATGTGAAAAGAGCCTATTTGAAGACATGAAGATTTAATTGGGCAAAACAAAAATACAACCAACGTTTTAGAGTCTATATATAGAGACATGTCCCTGTAGGGCAGACCTGGTTACATACGGCCCTTTGGTTGACTCTGACTGACCTGTTTGAGATCATTTAGATTTACAAAATGAGCATATTTTATCATTTTACCTCATGCATGGACTAAAGCTGCATTGCTTTTACCTCAGTGAGTTTTTTTTGTAAGGCAACCTCACTTTTTCATTGCTTAGTCATTACATAAACTCTTACCAGTCTTACCAGCTTGTCAAACCAATGATATTTAGTAGAGATGTAAAAATAACAGAAAATATCGTGATATTGTATCTCACAATAATATCATGGGCTGTCACAATATATCGAATTACAAGTTTCTCTGTTTAAATGCATTGTTTTATAGTAGAAATAG